TAAATCCGAAAAGGCCATGCTGGACAGGTACAAGTTGGTGGTGGTTCGCATGTCCTTGTATTTGGTCACCACCAAAATGGTCATGAGATTTCCCGTTACACCTACAAAGAAGAAGAGCGCGCAGGTGACGGTGACCCCGGTTAGCACTGGAACGGGGAAAATGTTGACCGGGTGCTCAAATCCCCAGTATGTCGCGTTCTCATCCCAACTGCAGTTGAAGGAACAGTTGGACCGGTTCGTCCAGGTAGGCATGATGAGAGATCATGGAGCGTCTAGATTCTCATGTGAGACAGAGCTCGGGGAGGACAGTCTCCCCACCGACTCTCCATCGTGCTGCGCTCAGGGCTGCCCAACATTTACAACTGAACTTATACAACCTGTACCGCAGGATGCTTTGGAAGGTCTGACCTTCCTAATTACGGATTGAAGCCCCCTAAAAGTCTTCAAAATAATCAGTATAATAAATCTTCAAAGTATGTTCTTTTACATATATACTATGTGTTTCAAAAACGTTTTCTAACAACGTTTCTGAAACCACACATTAGCGCGCGAAATAAAAGTTCGCGAACTGAAATTGCATCCCGCCTGTAAAAGTAACCATAGCAACAGTACACTGCTCTCTCTGTTCAGTATTGAGCGTGAAAACGACAAAACTGCCATTAATTAATATAAAGGGTTACATACCAAATGCACTCTCACAAATGTTACTGTTTTAAAAGTCTCTATGATACTTGACGGTTAACCTTCAGAGAATGCGCCCTGACAGAGATTCCTTTAAAAACTCGACTCCTCTGAAGGTCGTTCAGTATTTCGCACATTGTTTTACTCTATTTGTAGCTGTCAAATAAATGTCCTCATGACACATCCTTACCATCCGTTCCACATCTAAAAATGGTTCCAACTGATAGGAAAACTCAGAGAATTTAAGGATGGCAATCCAGCTTTTGCTGCCAAGTTATCTGTTCACATTGGACAGAAAATCGTTAGTCTTGAAGCTATTTAAGGCATCTTTGCTGTAGGAAGAAAGATAAGTGTACAAGGTGGGAGTCGGAGAGATGAAATCACCGCGCGGTGGATGAAAGACGCGCGTAATGCGCAATGCTGAGGGACTCTTTCATTAATGATGTCATTGATTCATCATTGAGTAAGTGGATGCGGAATCTTGGTAGAGAGTTTCGTAAGAGCTTGGAAAGTATATATTCACGTTATTCAAATAACAAAATTGCGAATGTAATGAGGATGGATACATGTTGAACACTGCCATCGTGGGGTGTTTGGATAGAATGCAGTGCGACACATCCTTGAAAAGTTCAGTTGGAAACTAGTTACAAACAAAAACAATTCTAATAGACGGCAGACCAAAACACGAATATCAATCTGACCAAAGTCAGTATCTCTTGAATAAGGGGTTCTCATAGGGGTTTGTGGATTTATAAAATTCGTGAAGTGCGCTTTAAATTGGAGAGAGAGAGAGAGAGAGAGATACAGGGGGCGTGACGTTAGCGGTATGTCACTTTTCTCACAGCTGATTGGTGCAATATCTGTTTGTGTATTGTAGCGTGTGGGTCCTAAACGATATCGACTAGTGATGAATTTAATATTTTTATATCTTTCTATTCAAACAGTTATCACCTGTAGTTAACGTTTTCGTCTAACCAATTAATGTTATTAAGCTCCTTTATAGATTTTATTTTAAAAAGAAGCGACATTAAAAGCAAATTGTAGTAAATACTTTGTTCATTTTGAACACGATTTGTATGACTTCATATCTTTAATATCTTTATATGTATTTGTATGACTTCATATCTTTTAAATATTTAATCTTTTTTCCTCCTGCTGGTAAATAAAGACATGCAAACCTACAAATTCAAAGCAGAAATGCATCTCATGCAAATGAGATTTTGATGTTGACTGAATATTGTGGGGAAGGAAATTAAGGCAGAGATCATTAACCAGTTTTATGACTGGAAAGGACTGAGCTGCCATTGAGCTGATATTGAGCCTTCAGTAAACTGCCAGCATCAGTGTGTAGTAGAAGAACTAACCTGAGCCTGCCGTGACACATTTAACTATTGGCTGGATAACAGAGAGGTCATTTCTTTCTTTCTTTCTTTCTTTCTTTCTTTCTTATAGTGTCTGAGTAACTCAGCATTACCCTCTCTTCTTTCTAATGAAAGAAGCTAACACTGAAGGTATTCAGTGTTACAGTTTGTGCATTTGTGTATGTAATGTGTAACTGAGTGTTTTAACATGTGATTCAAACCAGTGTTGTTGTTGTTACTTTAAGGTGTGGTGTTTCAGTGGCCTCTGGTCAAAGTCTCCATTATATTTGTTTTCTTCCCCAATCTCAGTAGCTACATATCAACAGCTGTGCCATTTGCAGTAATATTGCACCCAGTGATCAAGTGATCACAATCAACATACAATCTTTATAGCACAGGGCAATGAGATGCTTGAGAGGAAGTGTAGATCCAAATTGTAGCTATATTTGGTAGTTTTATCTGTTGCCCTTTAGAAGGGATTTGAGGTGCATAAATGACTGAGATAGCAAACATCCTGTCTTTTAGATAATTGCTTGCTTGTATCCACACACATCAACATGGTTAGCATAAAATTAAGTTTCAAAGGGGCAGAAAAATAGTTTTTCTAATACTGTCCACTAGAGGGCAAGAGCGCTATATGTAATACTGTTCTGAGCCTTCAAGGTTCAGTAAAAATACGATGCATTATAATGCAGTTGCATGTAATATCATGTCTTTTATAGCATCAAAACTACAGGTTGTAGCTTTAAAAACTATAATGTTTTAAAATTCTCGGTCCACTATTGTCCAAAATGATCTGTTTTAAACATTTTTACATTTCAAAACATCATCACAAATTTAACCTCCTAGTAATGAAAACCCTGGGGGCTAGTTCACCCCCCAAAAATCTGTCATCATTTACTCAGCCTCCACTCGCTCCAAACGTGTTTCTTTCATCTGTTAAACACAAAAGATGATATTCTCAAGAATGCAGAATATTCTGAACACTGTTAGTAACCAAACTGTTGATGGTAGCCATTGACTTCCATAGTATGTTTTTCTCATACGAAAGTCAATGGCTACTGCCAACTGTTTGGTTACTTACAACATAATTCAAAATATCTTCTTTTGTGCTCAACAGAAGAAAGAAACTCCTACAGGTTTGGAACACCTTGATGGTGAGTTAATGATGATATATAAATACTTTTACATTGATCAAGTGACTGAAAATTTAAAGAAATTTACAATGTTACTAAAGATTTCTAGTTCTAAAAAAAAGGTTGTTTTGAACATCAAAAAATACTGTTCCATGGTTCCCACAAAACTATTATGTAGCACAACTATTCCTAGCACAACATTCCTTGATAACATAATTCAAAATATCTTCTTTTGTGCTCAACAGAAGAAAGAAACTCCTACAGGTTTGGAACACCTTGATGGTGAGTTAATGATGACAGAACTTTCATTTTTGGATGAACTATACATTTAAGTTATCATTTTGTTGTCAGAGAGGTTTAGAATTAGTACAGTGTGGTTACTATCAGATGGGTCGATGTGGCAGTAATGAAACTAGCTGCCATTGAAAGCCATTAAACTCTGTCACTTTTCTGTTAATCTCTGTTTTTCTCTCTGTTTATTTCTTACCTCACTTTTCCTCATGCATTTGAGGCTCTGCGGTTGAGCTGATATTGTTTTGTGTTGTGTGAGAGAGACAGAGATGTTTGCTCGCGGCTGTGATAAATGGCAATGGCTGCCATTTGAGCAAAGGTATGGCCGCTCTGGCACACCCTGCCGTGGTAATTATTACAGACTCCATAGACCAGAGGTCCCGCGTCAGACAAGGCGGAAAATTGAAAATATAAATGATTTATGGTGCTCAGAAGTCTATCTTCTCCTCTGTCTTTGTTGTTGGCCACAAAGCGTCAGATACGCTGGGATGTCCTTTAGTGTGGCGTCTTGCTCTTGTTCTTCAGAGATTAATCCATTTAGACACAGTGGAGTGGAACTCTCCTCACCATGGAAAATAGATGGATTGTTGGAGAGGAAGGGCTTCAGGAAAGTGCTCGCAGTTTGTTGAAGAGCAGACCAAACTGCTCCAAGGGTAAACTATGGCCCTGACTGCTGAGCAGCCTGGAGATAAGTTGGTTTGACATTTCCACCTCTGAATCTTGGAGATGTTGCTTGTCATTTTAGCATCCTGCAGCTGCAGCAATGTCAGAGCTCTAGCATGAGACCTTATAAACGGTAATTTACACAGCTGTTACTGTAAAAATACTGGTAGTCTAATATAATGTAATTTTTTTCTTGAGCATCAAATCAGCATATTAGAATGATTTACGAAGGATCATGTGACACTGAAGACTGGAGTAATGATGCTAAAATTTCAGCTTTGCCTTCACAGAAATAAATTACATTTTACAATATATTAAAATAGATAACAGTTATTTTCAATTGTAATATTATTGCAACTGTATTTTGATTTTGAAAAACATTAAAAAAAAATCGTACAGACCCCAAACTGTTGAATGGGAGTGTGTGTATATATATTTATAAATGCATCTATCCATTTTCCAGACTGCTCGAATTTGTATTTTGTGTTTTGGCAAGCCTGAGCACAGTGCAGACGTTGTTGAGCTCTCTTCTAGAACTCTAGAAGAGACATATATGAGATTACTGTATATTCTCAAAAGAAAAATCTAAGCAAGATATTTAAACAAAAGTCTCCAATTGGTCTTTGTTTAATCTCATTGATATCTGGGAGAAACAACTGACCCATTGTAAACATCTAACTTGTGCTGCTTCTATCCCATGGGGAGATATCAGTCAATCTAAATGCATATAACAGCTGAGGAGAGGAGGAGCATGTTGTGACATGCTGCACTTGATTGGCTGAGCGACTGTGACTGACACTTCAGAACCCAGAAAAGGCCCCGCCCTCTTCAAACACATTGGCCTATGACTGATCTCTCCACTGCCCTCTTGTTTAGTCTGTTTGGAGTTGCAGAAAGGGAGAGGGACTCTTTTAACGCTGCAAAACTATGAGTTAGTCTTTCATTGTTGTGGGAGTCAAACAGCTGATTTATCATGTGGGAATCACGTCTACCAAGGCAGGTCAGTAAAACTTTGTGCTAGTTGTTGTCTCTTGCTCTGTTCCAAACTTGTATCTCAGCATGCAGAGTTAAAGAGAGTGAACACTTGGACATTTCTAGCAGCAGTTATGGATGTGTGTAATTGTGAAATGTGAAAGTCTTTCTGGTGCCGATATGTCTTGGCTCCTGTCTCACCCCAGAGTGTGAGAGGCTTTTGTATCTGTGGTGGAATGTGTGACCAGTGCACAAGAGAGGAAAGTCAACATGGTTTTGCTCAGGCTCCAAAATCCCTCTCTTGTTTTTTCAGCTGTACACAAGGGCTGGAGTACAGTACACTACAACTGAATAAATTACATTTGAACTCAAATGTATTATTCTGACACTTTCTCAGCTTTGGCTAATTGTGTATTCACTAGCTTGTGCTTTAAATGGCCCTCTGTGTTGTTTGCTTATCTCTTACACTTTATCCGTGTCATTCATTAATCAGAAGGCAAGAGACTTCTGACCTTGAGATGCTGGGAACTTCATGCTTTCACTAACACGCCTCACAGACAGACGGACGTGTAAAAAGACACATGATAGAACAAGTGTAGTGCTGTTTTATTTGATGAACAACATCCTGTCATAAATTGCCTTCAGGTGCAAAGTGCAAATCTTTTTCAACAGGAGTAACAGTCCTGCTAAACTTCACAACAGGTTGGCAAAGACTTTTCGAAACTTACATGGAGACTGTCTTTCCCAGACACTTACAAAACCCATCTTAATATTAAAGATGAATGGATTACTTTTGTTGGTGGCTGCCTTACTAAGTCCTCTGTTTGTGATACTAACATGAACCTACGATGATATTTAGAGTGAGTTTGCAGTAGTTTCATCCACACGGCTTCATGTCTTACAACGACAATGTAAAAAAATTCCCCCAGTTCTTCAGTTGCATGTGTGCCCCAGCACACACAAGTGATTCCAGTGTCTATACCATAGTTTCTCGTAAATCTCTAAGGTACATGGTTGCATAATATTTTTTTTTCTCCTCCCAAAGGCACTGAGCCTTGTTTCCATGACGAATTACAATGGGCAGGAACTTGTTGGCAGGAAGCAACAGCTGATATCCCATCCACAGCGTTCTCACTAACTTTTCATTCCCCCTCATTATCTGTGTATTGCTGTAGTTTAGTACACAAAGTAGAACTGATGTTGAACGGGTTTGTTCAGAAGGAAGGAAATTAGTACACTGCAAAAAGTAACTTTTTAATCAGTCTTTTGTCTTATTTTCTAATAAAAAATCTTATCGTCTATACACAATAACACTTCTCAAGTACATTTTTTTTGTTTTGTTTTGTTTAAAAAAAAAAATCCTGGCAATCAAGACAAAGATTCAGAAAATGACAATAAGAGAGGGCACATGTTGAAAGTGTTTATTCATTTATATTATCTTGGCTGTCTAACAGACAGAGCTCTTAAAGGTCTTGCTGTTCTGCAGTTATTTTCTACAGTTCACTGCACAGCCTGTCCTACTTTGGATCATTTACATCAAGATTTGTTCATTACGAGGTGCAGGGAACCTATAAGCCTAAAAGTTCATATGTTTTTCTTGTTTTGTTTTGACTTTTGTCTTGTTTTAATGTGCTTCAGTTCAAACACATCTCTGAGACTGCTGCTGGACAAACATATTGCATATTGTTGCATATTGATGGACAAACTGAAGTCAAGTCGCCTTTATATGGTGCTTTATACAATACAGATTGTGTACCTTCACAGAGATACAGCAGAATCAATTATGGAAACTAAAGCTATGGAGACCGTTCAGATTCTGCTGTAAAGCAGCTCTAAAAGGCAGTAGTGTCATCATTCAGCTAATGTCCGCTCAGTGTTTGTTTAGTTCAGGGCCCGTATTCATGAAAAATCTTAGTGTTAAGAGTTGCTCCTAGTAACAAAATTCTAAGAAAATTGTTAGAAATGTGAGTGTTTCCTCTTACAATTAAAGAAAAGATCCTAGTAAAGAAAAAAGTAATTCAGAAAGCATCTTAACCCTTAAAAGAGGTCTTAAGGTCCAAAATTGTTAGGAGTACGGATGAGGACTTTTAAGAGGCTTAAGAGTTTCTTTAGCAGTGGAGAAAGTGGATGAAACATGTAGAGGGAGAAGAAATGTGTTGCACAGTGCATGACAGTGAGTACACATTAGATCGTGCAGGGATTATGTTTGTGACCGATCTTATTAGAGACACGTCTCCTAACATCTCCGACACCGCGCAGAAATGCCATAGCGCCAGAAATGGAAGTAAATCACTACATTAACTACATTAACATATTTGGCAACTGGAAAAATGCAACTATGCAGCAGTGATGATTTGGGTCTGTCACAACCTTCTATAAGCAAAATGATAACGCAAACAATTACAGCACTTTCAGAACCTTATTGTGTCGCTATTAATTTCCTATAAAATAGTATGACAGCATGGTAAATAAAAAATAAAGCATATATATATATACAAATATAATGTGTGTGTGAGAGAGAGAGAGAGAGAGAGTACGGTAAAACAGGAAAAAATTATGCCTGTAATTTCAAAGTGAAGGTTTATAATAGACTAGGGTGACCATACGTGCCATTTTCCCAGGACGCGTCCTGGCCAGGATTTGTTTTGGCTTTGTTTTCCTGTTTTAATGCTTGCTGAAGGTAATGATCGAAAAGTAGTTTGACCAATAACATGCAAGCATTGTACATAATGGACCAATCATGGCGTGTGAGAAGGTGGGATCTACGGTCAAAGCGATGCAATTACGCGTACATATTAGGTGTGTTCGACTTAAAAGCAGTGCGGCTCAGACCGATCAGTGTTTGACATCAAAGTACCTCGAGAGCGTTTCGAAAGCAACCGTCTGTATGGTACTTTGATGTCATACACCGATCGGTCTGCACACGCAAACAAAGCCAAAACCTAGATATTTTAGGCAATATAGAAATCCTGGCCAGGACGCGTCCTGGGAAAATGGCACGTATGGTCACCCTATAATAGACCCTACTCTTAAAAGGGCTATTTTATTTCCTTCTTGGACAACCAACCAATCACAGTCTTCAAAAGACTGTGTCATAGCTAGCAACGGAGTCAGCCCCGCCTCCTCACTAAGATTTTTGTCTTTTCCTCGCTCAGGGTTGCTCTCAGATTGGTCCTGAATCACTTTTAAACTAAGACTCCTAGTTAGAAATTTTTAAGCTAAATTAGGAGCTCTCTGAGAGGATTCTTAGAATCTTTAAGAATACGGGCCCAGATCAATAGCAGTGTGAAGATAATCAATCAGCTATAAGCAATTCTACAAAAGGCAGCAGTCGTTATTCAGCTCGAGTCAGTTCAATGTTGATTAAATTCAGTTCAATACCAGTGTCGATGTTGCAAGATACAACTCTGCTGTAAAGCAGCTCTACAGAAGACAGCAGTGCCATCATCCAGTTTAATTCAGTTCAAGTTTTGTTCTCATCCAGTCAATGTGGTCGATAAATTGCTCAAATTTAAAGTCTTTCAGACCCCAATTAAAGAAGCCAGAAGGCAAAATATTCCCTGTGGAGAAGTAAATGGTAGTTCCCATAGTTTTAAATGAGAGCTTAGCATGATTGTATGTTTGGCTGCTTTGAAATGTGTATGTTTTGGGTTTAGTTTGGTTCCTAATAGGGCTGCACGATAAATCGTTAATTTTGCTCAATGTGAAAGCATGCACGTGATGGAGATTTACCGCTGATTACAGAACCGGCTTTCTGACAAGATGCGCGTTAAATATCGCATGCGATTTATCGTGCAGCCCTAGTTCCTAAATAGATTCACATCCAGTATATGAGGAATTAGCCTAGTCTTTGTCTTTGTGTGCTGTACAGCACACAGAACAGAGCTTTGTCTGTAAAGTCACATGTATATATCCGTAAACAATAAATACTGTAATGCACCCTTACTCAGGAATGGTCCATTCTGAGATTGTAGTGGTTGGGCAAGATGATATCTGAAGAATCATAAAAATGCAATATTGTGCCAACGGTGTGATAGTTGACGTGTCTGATTCACTGCCTCTCTTTGACCTGTGCACCTCTTTAAAGCTGGCTCTAAAGGTCAGTGCACAGGTGGGAGACATGCATGAGATACCATAAGCGTTCACCCACACAGAGAGAATGAATGAGTCCCTCCATTAGGAACCTCTCTACCAGCACTTATGTTGTATATCGCGATACATATTGATATTGAATTATTGTCCAGCCCTACTCAAGCGTGTGACGGAAATGTTACGCCCTTTACATACTGTGGTGCCGTCTTGCGGCACGACGAGACAAAACCAATAA